GTTCTGCGTATTGTGAAGTGAGAGGAAATTTATTCATCGTCCCGATTAAATTCATTTTGTTTACCTCCTTGGAAGTGTCATGTAACATGCTTCAACTATGACGTGACATTGACGGATTTCGGACTGAATGTAACCAGAATGCCGTGAATGGAGGCGGATACTATGAAAAGAAGGGAGAGTGAGAGAGAGAGAAAGTGGGAGGAAAGAGCTGTGCGTAAGGAGCAAAGAAAAAACAAGAGTTGTAATTTGCATTATGGGGCACTGCTGCCGTGCTAAGGAAGAACGTCGTATGAACTTTCAGGCGTTGCCAAATCTCCCCTGATACAACACGAATTTCTTTGTCAACTTACGAATATTTTTCTATCAATTTTTCATATAATTTTGCTCGCAATTCCACCGAAAAGGCCTGAAAATTTATCGTGAAAATATTCATAAGTTTCCTCGAAAATGAACATTTTATCAAAGGAAATGTGGCAACTCTTGAATGTTCTTACGGCGTTCTTCCTTAGCACGGCAGTTTGGCACTCCCTACTTTCCAGGCGCGAGAGCGAGTTGTCTCTGATTGGCTGACGGTCCCCACCAATTTTTAGGTCGGCCGGTGCCAACATTTTTAAACAGAGAGATACGCATTTCTGCAATTTCACCATCGAATAGCTCCACTAAAAATTTCTCCTCCGCAGATTAAGGTCATTTTTCCTGTACTGCCGTGCTAAGGGAAAAACACCATAAGAACTATCGAGAGTTGCCAAATTTCCTTCGATAAAATGTTTATTTTTAAGGAAAGTTGCGTATATCATTCCTTTAAATTTTCAGAATCTTTAGGTGAAATTGCGATAAAAATTATCCGAAAAATTGGGAGGAAACTATTCATACGTTTACCAAGATATTCGCTTTTTATCAGAGGAAATTTGGCAACGCCTGAAGGTTCATACGGCGTTTCTCCTTAGCACGGTAGTGTGGACAGCCTCACAGAGGTACTCGAGTCAAGATGGACCGAGACATAACCTATAAGTTGGATATCGGAAAGGAGGAAACCGGAACTGGGGATGGGTCAGAGCAAAGGACAAGTGATAGAAAGCAAACAAAGTTGCAAGGAGCGGAACGATAATATAAGCAGGGCAAATTTAAAAGTGATTAATGAACTAACTGCGTGACGAGGGCGACCCTAGGAAACCCGAGTCAACTGCGCGCGACGCCCTCCCTCCCCCTCCCCCCGCCCTCGGCCCTGGGACGGGATAAAAGCGGGATCGGGATAAGGTGGAATGTGGGTGGAGGGTCCCCGCTTGTGGGATTGAAGGCTGGAGCTGTAGGGATCGCGGCGACTGAGGACCGGAGGGGGGGTTAGGGGGCAGGGGGGCAGGGACACTGTCTGGCGACAGGGATTAAAATAAACATACCGTAACTAACTCTTTTGGCAAATACAATTTGACTGACATTCACAGTTATCCCTACGCACAAGTCAATTTATTCACTGCTTTCATCCTAACCGCTGATTATCCGCTATTGTTCACGCTTTAAAGAAAACATTTTCCCCGCCCCGCCCCGGCCCCTCCTCCCCCCTTTATTTTTTCCTCTTCCTGTTCTGCTGTGCTAAGGAAAAACGCTGTATGAACATTCGAACGTTGCCGAATTTCCCCGGATAAAACATGCATTTTTAACGAAATTTATGCATATTTTTCATTGAAATTTTCAGATATCTTGGATTAAATTGCGAACAAAACAGTCTGAAAAATTGGTAGAAAAATATTTACGATTTCTTCCATAATTTCGTATTTTTTTCGGAGTAAATTTGGCAACGCCTGAAGGCTCATGCGGCGTTCTTCCTCAGCACGGCAGTGTTGCCCTCACGTCTCGATTATTGAATCGATATTGAATGACCTTGATCGATAAAAAGCTATGGTATGATTGGGATTTATCGATCAGGATCATTCGATAACTATTCAACAATAGACTCGCAGCTCGGCCGTGCTAAGTAAAAACGCCGTATTCGAACGTTGCCAAATTCTCACAGAATATATTTATTTATGAAGGAAGTTATGAATATTTTTCCTTGATAATGTCAGACTTTTTAGATCAAACACGAAAAAAATCCTCTGAAAAATCGGCAGAGAAATATTCACTTTCCCTAAAAATTCGTGATTTGTCAAAGGAAGTTTGGCAACGCCTGGTGGCTCTTAAGGCGTTTTTACTCAGCGCGGCGGTGCTCTAATATTAAGCACTTTTCGAGAAACAAACGTCGATATCCTTTAATAGCCGTTCTCTCGCAGCACACTCTTCTCATCCATTAACCGGAGTTCAAAATAGTGACTTCGGCCCACGTTAGACTGAAAAGGTGACCGCGCGTGGAGTGGGGGAGATACGGTGGAAGCGGCAAAGTAGGGGGCGGTGATGTTGCGTGTTGCGTTCTCGGTGGGTTTAAGGCGCCTCTTCGGGATGGGTTAAGGAGCATATTTCACCGCCAATAAAAATTGCAACAAATGAAGTGAGCCGAGTGACATTCATTTTTGCTGTCATCTCGCGGCCAGGCTCTCGATGGGACATAACTCATCATATTCAGGGACTCCTCGCCTCATAAAATACCTTTTTCCCTTGGATTATCCAGCACCGTAGAGTCCATAAAAGCTGTGTTCGAAAAAGATTTCCTACTTTCATTTTGTGTCTCGTCGCACCGACCGACAACGTGCGAAAATAATGCCGTGAATATCTAAATTTTCCTTCAAGACTACTCTGGAAAATAAAAAAAAAAAAAAAACAAATTGGATCTAGAGTCCAGATTCTTGAAAACATTGACAAGAAAAAATGCTCTTGATTCAATTGGATTTTTGCTTGAATCAAAACGAAATCCGCTTAAATTAAGAGGCTTGGTTCTTGATTTAAGCTAGATTCTGATCGAATCAAGATACTTTTTCTTGTCGATGTTTTTAAGAGTCTGGACTCTAGATCCAATGTGTTTTTTTTCCCAGTGTACCTCAAAATAATTATTTGGATGATTAGTAGGGTATGTATTTTATTAATCCCCAGCTCTATACTACTTTAAAATGAAAAACGCCGCGTGAGCATCCACGGGTTTCCAAAATTTTCCTAATCAAATATTTTTTTAGAAGGAAAGTTATGAATTTTTTTGGAGAATTTCTAAGAACACATGATTACACTAGGAATGAACCTCTCTGAAAGACTTAACGAGATAGGTTCATAAATTTTTCAGAAAATATGTGTTATCTCGAGGAAAACTTTGCAGCATCTGGGTGTTCTACGGCGTTCATTCCTGGTACAGAAGGAGACGATACCATTGGAAGTAATTCAAACTCTTATATGTACGTGCTCTATGGATGTGCGTGTTGCTGATACAAATATTGAAGGCGTTTTCGTTGCCTTGTCATACTCACTTCCAGGGTTTCTCTCCACACACAGTATAAAAGTAAAGGTCTACAAATTTTTTCTTGCAAACAGTTTGCCTGTCCAATTTGACAAAAATGAAGGCTGCTTCCAAAAAGGTATTCCACCTAAACGCTACTGAGCCCATTTCATCAAAATTTCATTTTTGCACCTCCCTAGTATACATAGAAGGATAGATAACATCGGAAGAAATGCAAAATCTTGGACGCAACTATTCGTGCTCAATGGATGTGCGTGTTGCTTCGACAAATATTGAAGGCGTTTTCGTTGCACTGTCGCACAGACTTCTACGGCGTTTCCTTCTACACGGTATACAAGTGGAAGTTGACAGAAACTTTCTTGAAAACATTCTGCTTCAACTTTGTTTCTGTATAACGTGACGAACGGTTGCTTCTTTCAATAATATGATTGCTTATGTCAACTGCTACTAAACCTTCCTTCTCAAAACTCTATTCTTGCACTTCCCTAGTGAAGAAGATTAGATGGACGGAGTTGAACAGAAAGGAAGTAAGCCATATCGGAATAGAACCGAGAAAAAGAGGTTTAAAGGTTTGCTCCTACATAAGACTCAATGTAAAAGATAAACTTCAACTTCAATTTCTGCAAAATTTGCTCCACCAAAAACCTTGAATTTTCGGCGATAGATAGTAGAGCAGTGGTTGAGTTCAAAACCACTCATAACTCAATTTTTTCCAAAATGTGGGTTGGTTCCTTTCTGCTTAACTCAGTCCAGATATCACTGGAAGCAATGCAAACCCTCGGACGCAACTATTCGTGCTCCATGGATGTGCGTGTTGCTTCGCCAAATAGTGAAGGCGTTTTCGTTGCCCTGTCGCACTGACTTCTACGGCGTTTCTCCCTTAACGGTATACAAGTTGAAGTTGACAGAAACTTTCTTCAAAACATTCTGCTTCAACTTTGTTTCTGTAGAACGTGACGAACAGTTGCTTCTTTCAATAATATGTTTCGCTCAACTGATACTAAACCTTCCTCCTCAAAACTCTATTCTTGCACTTCCCTAGTGAAGAGGATTAGATATCACTGGAAGCAATGGAGATGTTGTATGTGTGAGGAATTGGTGATTTGACTGTTGATTCTCATGTAAAAGTTCGCGAGAAACGCGATGGTGCCACTGGTTTTTTCTGAAATCAACTCCCAAGCTTAAAAAAAGCTCTCAAGTTGAGGCCAAAATGGAGGGGATATCCACGCTATCCTGAGAGTCCACGTCTACATCAAAACAAACCCTCCATGCAAAGATACGGAGCAAATACATTGACATTGAGAACACGGCATCACTGTTAATGTATTTGCTCCCTATCTTTGCATGGAGGGTTTGTTTTGATGTAGAGGTGGACTCTCAGGATAGCGTGGGATATCCCCTCCATTTTGGCCTCAACTTGAGAGCTTTTTTCGCGAACTTTTACATAAAAATCAACAGTCAAATCGCAAATTCCTCACACATGCAACATCTCCATTCAAACCCTTGGACGCAACTATTCGTGCTCTAAGGATGTGCGTGTTGCTTGTGCAAATATTGCAGGCGCTTCGGTAACACGGCATTGGGATGAACCGATTATTAAGTATTTCTGAATTTTGTGTTTCAGGTGAGATGCGATCCGAGCCGGGGGCGCAGACGGAGAGCGCCGTGGACTTGTTCAGCGACTGGGCAGAGAACTCCGGCCACATCACAGCCAAAACAAACTCGACCAAATCGGCGACCAGACGGTCCATCCGGAGATGTCATAACCTCGCCGCCAATCTCATGCCAATGGATTTCGATCTCACAGACTCGTCCTCGGTAAGCATGACTCCATTCCAGAGACAAGAGACCCTTCACTGGCCTCCGAGCGACAAGTGGAAGCTTTTACTTTCAGGGTTTCAACAATTCCTTATGGGCAATTATTAGGGAGCAACAGTCATCACCCTAGTCTCGGCTGTTGACTTACCTACATGGTCGATGATGAGCTTCGGAGCCAAAAAAATTTCTCAAACGTCGGCCATTTTCGGCTTGTTTGCAAATTAATGAAACTGCCAACACGTTGTTGAACATCAACCATGTAGGTAAGTCAACAGTAGAATGCTGAAGTCCGGAAAGTAAAAGCTTCCACAATGGCCAAGATACTAGTGGAGGGTCTCTTGTCTCCACTCCATTCGGTTTGCCGTCTGTGGTCTATTAACCGCCACAGACAGTGGCTCGGGTCACCCAAACTAATGTGGTTTTCGGCCGCTTCAGTCGACCGAAAGTTCGGATGAAATCTCAATTAAGTGCCTCTGGGTATTGGACCAGTAGATAAGGTACAAATGGACGTACATATATTTATGCGAAAAGGAACTATGCGCAAGTGGAAAGATGGGGTGTGCTTGTAGAAGGTGGATAAGGAACAATGTAAAAGTGAGCATGGGAAAATGGAAAAGTGGAATTTGATATTAAATCAGAAGGAACTGACCGCTAACTCGTGAGCCGTGGACATGTGACAAGAGCATTGTGCACAGGGCTCATGCGTTAACTGCCATCGATCTCCCCGTCGTGGCTCCTCGTAGTTACCACTGACGTCATTGGCGCTTTTAAATTCCCATTCATTCTTATAGTCCTCGACTAACGAGCACACCCCATCTTTTCACTTGCACATAGTTCCATTTAGCATAAATACGTCCGAATTTAAGCACAGGGTGGCAAAATTTCGTGGAATTCGTGATGAAATATTTCTGGAAATTTCAGATATTTTACGAAATTCAAGGAATTATAATTTCAAGGTTTAATTTATATATTGGTCTATCGCTGTTGCTGACGAACTCTTTTCGACACTACTTATTTGCTTATTATAATAACAGCGATTAATGCAAATTCATTAATTGAACTTATTTTTATTTTAATTTCAAGTTTCACCATAAATATTAATATTTCAGATGCTACTTGTCCAAAAATGTTTGTTGATACAAATGCTGCAATAATGTGTGATTCATAAGTTTTAATCATTGACTTATTTCATGAATTACATATTGGATTGCATTTTGCAAAAAGGAACCATGAGCATTCCAATGTCGCTAAGATGGTGCAACTCTTTTTACCTTGCAAATATAAACTAATCATCTAAAAAAGTTTTATCTATACTCTTAATGAACCATGAATTTAAGACTAAAATTACCTTAGTAAATTCATATTTTTGCATGACATTGGTACTTTTATAGCAAAGAATGTAAGCTGCACAATCTTAGCAACATTGGAATGCTCTTGGTTCCTTTTCGCAAAATGCAATCCAATTAGTATTACTCAGCACCTGCGGAAAAATTCTCGCTCAGTATAAAAAGTCTTGGAAACAGAATATCTAATTTCCTACTTTTCCGTTCCCTGGTAAAAATTGGTAGTAGAATCTGTGTTTCAAAATACCATAGACCTAAAGCCGGCTGTAAGATTTCCAATGCTTCTGTAGCCTACTGTACAATTTCTTATAGCCTTTTATAGCCGATGGCGATTAAGCAACAGCCAGACGATAAAGTTTATACTAAACGTTACTGAATACGGATACCAGGACTTAGTTAGTTTTTGGACTACCGCTCTCTTTTTGTGCCGTAGTATCTTGATTTATTTTGCGAGGAAATCTCCGTACTTTTGAAGGATGCCTGTCATTCTTAATATATTAGAGCGCCTTCAGTTTCGTAAGAAACTGTGCAATACCTCTGGTGTGAAATAGTTGCTTCAAGCGCCGTGCAGGCGGGCAGCCAGCGCGAAACACGCATTGGCGCCTACAAACCTAACAGGGATACTTCACGCGTTGCGCAATGCGTGAAGTATCCCTGTTAGGTTTGTAGGCGCCAGTGCGTCGCCGCTCCGCTCCGCTTTTTGTTAGGCTCTAATATTTAAACTCGCGGAGTCAACGTTTTTCAACTCATGATTTTGAAATGTTTGCACACTGTATGGACTATTCTCATTTTAATTGATGAGAAAAAAATATGTTTCAAAGGAAAATATAACGTGTGTTTTGTAAATATTAAGGTAGTTCCATGTCAAACTTAATGATTTCCAAAGCACACGAATTTCTACACAATTTCTTATAGCCTTTTATAGCCAATGGCGATAAAGTGTAAAGCCCGGCGATAGGAACTATAGCCCGACTGTATACTTTTTTATAGCTTCGTATAGCCCGGCTATATGATTTGCTCCGCTTTCTACAGCCAGCTTTATGATTTTCAATGGCCTTCTTTAGTCGGCTATAAAAACTCCTATGGTATTTTGAAACGCAGCTCCTATCGCCAATTTTCACGAGGGTTACCACTAGCATGGGCGGCATGATTTAAACAAATGTGTCTCCTTTTTCCAAAGAAGTAGAAGCAGTTCTTCATTAAGATGGTCTGTATTCCTTTTTCTCAAAGAAAAAAATAAAGCAGAATTTATTTATTATGTTTATATTCTAAGTTTCGATTCGCTGTTCTCAGGTGAGCGATGACACGGCGAGTACGCTGGGAACAAGGAGTCGGAACACATCGTCCGGCCGACGTCGAAAACCGGTCCTCAATGCCAAAGAAAGGAATCTCAGGAGACTGGAGAGCAACGAAAGGGAGCGCATGAGAATGCACAGCCTCAACGATGCTTTCCAGGTAGGCCAACGAAAATTTCTCGCAAAATTGCCTCATCACATGAGTACATTCTTCATACCTCTACAGAATGCACTATTTTATCCTTCCGAAGTGTGTTTCCAGTAGCCAAACCTACAGCGGCTTTGAAAACTAAATTAAAACTACCAGAATTACCGACTTTTTTTGGAGCTTATGAGCAATGGCCTTCGTTTTTCCAAATGTTCAATTCTCTAGTTCATTCAAATATGAACTTAACGGAGATCATCAAATTTCATTATTTACGGTCGTCTTTATCAGGAAAAGTCCTCTCTTTGATCAGAAGCATCGACTTCACGGAAGCAAATTATCTAGTTGCGCTTCAAACTTTGAGAGATGAATTCGAAAATAAAATAATATTTAAAAATAATAATTATCCTTCAATGGAGTTCTTGCATGAGGAGAACTTGCGATGTAAGTACTTTTTCTTGCGTATACATTCGCGGAAAATACGGTGATGCCACTGGTTTTCTCTGAAATCGACTTCCAAGCTCAAAAAAAGCTCTCAAAGCTCAGGCCGTAATGGAGGGGGTATCCCACGCTACGTTGAGATTGAGAGACCACCTTTGTATCTAGTCAAACTCTTCACACATAGATAGGAATCAAATACACTATCAGGGTTGCCGTGGTTCCAACTTAGGAGTCCTCAAACAAATTGGCGACCCTGATAGTGTATTTTCCTCCTATATCTTTTCATAGAGAGTTTGACTTGATCTAAAGATGGACTCTCAGAATAACTTAAGCTGTATTCTCTTCATTACGATCTTAACTTGGGGAGCTTTTCTGAGTTTTGGAGTTTGTCTCAGAGTAAACCGGTGGCACCATCGTGTTTCTCGCGAAATTTTACGCCAGAAAAATATTTAAATCGCAAATTCCTAGACCAGCAGGAGCTCCATTCTGCCGTGCTAAGGAAGAACGCCGTATGAACATTCGAGAGTTGCCAAATTTCTCTCGATAAAACACGTCTTTTTGACAGCATTCGTGCGTATTTTTCCTTGAAATTTTCAGATATTTTAGGTTAAATTGTGCACTAAATTGTCTGAAAATTTGGGAAAATAATATTCGCAATTTTTCCAGGAAATTCGGTTTTTATCGGAGGAAACTTGGCAACGTCTGAAGGCTCATACGGCGTTCTTCCTTAGCACGGCAGCATTGGAAACCATTGAAATTTTTACTTTGTCTTCTTCTTTTCTCTTTTGGGAGCACCGCAAGCATCACCCGCGCCTCCCAATTCTTGGTTTCAATTGAATTGGCCTCATTAGAATACCTGACCCGGAAGAGAGATAGGCAACAAGTAGGACGCGGATGAATTGTGTTTGATAGAAAGCTGGCGCAGGGACAAAAAAAAAGAGGAGAAAATGAAGTTCTAAAATTAGGTTCCACTCATTCAAATGCAGGTCTGCTCCAAGTCAAGGCGAAGAACTCGAAATTAGATTTAAAATTAGTGAAAATAAATGTCGTAATTTGTTTAAGTTGAGGGAGAAAAAAAAATGAAGGGTGGTATCTGAATATAGTTCAAGGGGTGAGATGAGAGAATTTTGAAATCTGCATATAGAGCGAAGAGGGGTGAAATGAAAAACCAGAATGCTAAAAATATGCATTAATTTCCAACTGCATTCGTCTTACTCGAACGAAAGAAACGGAATCAGAATAGCGTTGTCTTCAAGGCTCATGTATTAGGACGGACTGAAAACGGACGCATTTGTAAGAAACATCCCTTATGCAATCCAGCACATTCAAACGTACCTAATTTAATACAAGAATATCTAGAAGGAAGGGCATACCTTGACCAATTTATTTCAGTAATGTTCGTTTCGTCCCCATTGAATAGCAGATAGCGTACGTATGCATGCGTTTCATTGACTACCATGAACTTTTACTGGAAGAAACTTCATTTCTGCGTACCATTAGCATAATATAGGTAGAGACGATGTATTTTGTTACGAAGCTACCCTCTGAAGTGGTGAATCCTTAAGAGAGGCCTAGTTATTACTCATGAGCGTGTGTTCGTTTTTTAGAACACTCCATTTAGATACGATTCTATTCCACCATGTCATTCAATGTCGTCCAACTTGAGTCTATTAGACCTCTCCAGTAATAACGTAATCGGGGGGGGGGTGTCCCCCTCTAGAATACTGATGTCCCCATCTGCGTCTCCTAGAAAACTTGTGATTGCAAGTAGTTGCTGGACAGCCAATACCACAAGACCCATGTGAAGAGTGTTAAAAAGGGTCCATCCCCCTTCCCTTAACACAAAATGTTCCTGGCCCTGGCCACACTTATGCCTTCTGGTTTTAATTCCTCTCTATTTATCTCAAACCTCTGTTGTCATTCGATATTCTTCCCCCACTTCTTCTTCCTTCCTTCCTTCTTCTTCCTTTTCTCCTTCTCTGTCGTCCTCCTCCTCCTCTTCTTTTTCTTCCTATTCCTCTTCCTCTTCTTCTTCCTCTTCTTCCTCCTCTTCTTCCTCTTCTTTCTCTTCTTCCTCTTCTTCCTCTTCTTCTTCCTCTTCTTCTTCCTCCTCTTCTTCTTCATCTACTTCTCCTTCGTCTTCTTCTTCATCCTCTCATTTGTCTTCCTATTTCTAATGCATTCTCATATGGCATAAGTGAGATCGTTCCCCTTCCTCTTCCTCACCCTCTTTTTCTTCCTCTTAGTCATCCAATATCTAATGCATTCTCATGTGGCATCTACAAGATCGTTCCTCTTCCTCTTCTCTGTCTAATTCTTCTTCTTAGTCATCATTTTCTAATGCATTTTCGTGTGACAAATACAAGATTATTCTTCTTCTCATTTGTTTTCTCCTCCTCCTTCTTATTTTGCAATCGATTTCTAATGCATTCTCATGTGATTTGTACAAGATCGTCTTAATTCATCCATCGTCATTGATTTTTATTATATTCTCATTAGACATGAGAAGTCGTGTTTTTACTTTCTCGCTACCCCATCCTCCAAGGGGGGGAAAAAAGTTGAAATTTCATCATTTCTAGACGTTTTAAGGTCCCAGGAGTCAAAATAACCATACTTGAAAAAATGTGTGTCCGTCCGTCCGGCGTCCCCCAAATCTGTCTACAGCGATATCTCAGAATTTATCTGTTCGATTTTTCTCTTCTTCTTCTTCTTCTTCTATTTTTTTTAACACCTGTGTTCCAAACTCACGCGTGGCGTTTTCTCGATTTGTTGCAGTCCCTGCGAGAGGTGATCCCGCACGTGAAGAAGGAGCGGCGGCTCTCGAAGATCGAGACGCTGACGCTGGCGAAGAATTATATAATGGCTCTAACGAGCGTAATTTGTGATATGCGAGGTGAGGCGAATCCGTACGCGGAGGCCATGGGCGCGGGGGAGTCCCGGTCCCCCGAATCGCCGCGCTCCCCCCGCTCCCCCCGCTCCCTCGTCGACTCCCCGCAGGACCTCGAGAAGAGCTTCTACGAGCCTTTCGACAAGCAAATCCCTGATCTCATCTGAGACTCACCCATGACGCACCGCTGCGCCGCCGTTTCACTCAGCTCCGCCCAATGAATACACCGATAGCGACGCACAGTGGAGCGAGGTAATAAAAGAGGTCCAACATGAAATATTTGGCTAAAATTATAGATTTTGATGTTTACACTGAAAAAAAAATCTCGGTGTATTTACTAAGAAAAGGGTAAAATTACCAAGAATTCAGAGTTCGATTTGATCCCAGTTTTTTCTTGGTAAAATTACCATTTATGGAATTGGTAATTTAAGCGAGAAATCTCGGTAAAATTATTGAACTTCCTCGGTAATTTTACTGGACCTTGGTAAAAACGCCAGTATTTTTTATCGACTGTGGTAGAATTACCGAGATAAAATGGCAAAGTTACCGGGAATTGATTACCAATAAAAGTGGTATTCTTACCTGAAAAAACAGTAAAAATACCGGTTTTTAGGTAAGCTAACCAGTCTGTCTTGGTAAAATTACCAACAATTGGTAAAAAAAGTGAGATGGTAAAGGTACCAACGGACCGTGGTAAAAACGCCGAGAATTTTTTTCAGTGTATTTTGTCACAAATTCAATTTCTTGAGGTGTTTCTGAAGGTAAATACGAAAAAACCAACAAAACCACTCTTTAACTTTTTCGTTCCGTTATTTCGAATTTCAGAGTTTCCTGATTATGTCTGACCTCACGTACAGTGGTGTGAGCATGTGGTTCCAACATGAAATTTTTAGCTAAAATTATAGAATTTTATGTTTATTTTATCACAAATTATCACAAATTCAATTTCATGAGGTGTTTCTGAAGGTAAATTTTATGGAAAAACCAACAAAACCACTCTTAAACTTTTTCTTTTCGTAATTTCGAAAATATAGGCTTTCAAAGTTTCCTGATTATGCCTGACCTCACGCACAGTGGAGTGAGCTAATGGAAGAGGTCCAACATGAAATTTTTGACTAAAATTATAGAATTTTATGTTTATATTATCACAAATTCAATTTCATGAGGTGTTTCTGAAGGTAAATTTTACGGAAAAACCAACAAAACTACTCTTAAACTTTTTCGTTTCGTAATTTCGAAAATATAGGCTTTCAAAGTTTCCCGACTATGTCTGACGTCTCCTATTGACTAAGTCCAGTGTGCGACGGTGAGACTGCAAAAAAGCGTATCTCGGTTGCAGTGTTAAGAATCTCCCTTCCTTATTTTGTTTTGTAAAAGGAGGCTAAACCAACGTCATCCTTGACATTTTTACAGAATATGTTTAAGATTGAGAAGAAAAATCATCGAAATTTTCAAGGATTGACGATTAGCAGTTATCCGAGTAGAATATAAATTATGATAGGAAGTCTGCAACGCCGAGAACCGAAATACGCATTTCGTCACCTTCCTGCCAAAGCACCACAAGCGTCATGCGAAGTTTATACATTTCCGCAACCAGTTTATTTTTTTACAGAGAAATTATTCGCAACGAAGCTGTCCAAAAATTTCCCTTAATTTTCTTTGTGCTCCCGATGAAATTCAGTGAAATTTCCAAACAGATTCAAGTAACAATTTTTTTGTAAAGAAATAAATAAAAGGGAAAAAACCGGCGAAAATTTTTAAACGTCGCATGGCGCTTGTGATACTTCGGCCGGGAGGTGACGATTTCTGCAATTTAACCATCGATAAGATCATTCTCAGAATTGCTGGTAACCCTTCGTTAAGTACGTGACGTCACTCAAACCTACGTAAATTACGTACCACTTGACCATATTTCTTCATTTACTTTATGATTAATGTTGTTTTGTTTTTTTCCTTTTTTTGGAGTTTTATGATTGAATAACATGTTCGGAACTTATTATACATGCATTTTTGTTTACATTGTTGACTATGTTCACTTTTTTTTTTCAAAATTGAGATTTATCAGTGATTTTTTAACGTTTGAAAAGAGGCAAAGACAGAGAAACTGACCTTTGTTATAGGAGCGTTACGGGAGGGAGGTAATGAAATCCGGTTTTTAGCGTTACGTATTGTTTAAAGGACCTTTAGGGAGCAGCGTCACATGAATACTTGAATGCTCCCAAATTTTCATTGGTAAAATAGAGTGCTCTGGAAATGAATATTTTTTTAAACATTCTTTTATAAGATTCCTCCCTAATTTATTCTGTCGAACCTGATAATTTCAAAGAAACATACCCATATCTTTCCTAAAACGTGAGTATTTTATCAGAAGAAATTTGATAATGTTTGAAAGTTCACGCGGCGTTTTTCTTCAAGACGGCAGACCTGGAGAGCATCAAGGAAAACATGGCGATCTTCTAAACCAAATTTCATATCTCTGATGAAGTCAGGCAAAACATCTCTTCGAGTATTTATTGTTCACTCTAGTGAAAAAAAAATCGATTTTCAATTTTGAGTGTAAACGCTTTCTGGTACTTTCAAGAAAATCGAGTCAAAACTTCACGCCATAATTTGTATTGATCAGAAAAGTAAAACAACAGTGCCAGGAAACTTTATAACGGCGTTTTTTCTCTAAAATTCCCGATTTATTATTCTTAAACTCTGAGATGTTCGTGAAGGATCAATATGTGCGCAATTTTTGGATGTATTCTTTGCATCAGATGATACAGAATGAAATCTTCAAAACTGTGGCACAGTTATCTTATTTTTATTATTTCTTACCTCAATGACCAATTTATCGTACCCCATAACATGTTTAATGATATCAGCTGAAAGCAGGTACTGGATTTAGATGCAAATACGTCCAATGTCGATATCTCAAAACTGAAATAAGTATCCGCCAAATGTAGGGTTAAAAACACTCGATGTTGATTGAACTCTATCACTCGACGCTGTCCACATCATGGAATGTGCATTGTAAACTTTTACTTGACTTTTACCAAAAAGTTAAAATTCAAATGAGATTTTAACATAAGGTATGTTTGCAGATATGCGCGTTATATTACTTTACTTTGCTGGACTATTAATTGGATTGCATTTTGCAAAAAGGAAAAAAGATCATTCCTATGTCGCTATAAGATTGTGCACTTTCTTTCACCTTGCAATTATCAACTGATCATCTAAGCCAGGTTTATCTTAACTCCCAATAAACTTTAAATTCAAGACGAAATTTACCTATGTAAATTTCATTTTTTGCATGATTTTGGGAATTTTTCCCAAAGGATGTTAGTTGCACAATCCTAGCAACATTGTAATGCCCTTGGTTCCTTTTTACAAAATGCAATTCAATTGTGAGACGTCTCTATTCTCTTGTATTTATACTCCACTTCTTAAAATCTTCTTTGATCTCTTTCTTGATTATTAACTTTGCATATTTTCGAGCTTGATCTCACTCAGAAACAAACAATGACCTTCATTAGGTTTGACAAAACAAATAGATTGTTAACAGCATCGCTATAAAAGTTTATGCAATTTTATCAATGCAATTGTCAACCTTGGTATAATCTGCAATTGTATACGTAAGAATGTTGATAAAACACAATTATTTCTTTCCGAAGAAGGTACTTTATTACTATTACCTCTTCCAACGTTTTTGTCACCGCAGTTTAATCTTGAAACTGCATTTCGTCTGTTAGATTGCATATCGACGGTGAAACTACCAAACCACGTATCTCGGTTTGCGACGTCGCAGACTTCCTGTCATACTTTATTTTTTAAATGAAAAACTACTTAACATCCAGTCTTGAAAATTTCTGTCATTTTTCCTCTTTGTGCGGAGAAAATTCCGTGAAAATTTCAAGGAATGATATTGATTTGGTCTACTTCAAAACAATAAAATGTGAGCGTAGATTTTTAAACACCGCAAACGAGATACGTGGTTTGGTAGTTTCACCGTCGATATGTCATTCACCTTTACTGATTAGCTCCGTAACTTTATCCTATTCCAAGTAAAATAATTCCATTAATTTGATCTCCAGTAATTTCTTCCTTATTGCATAAGCCTCATCGGTGGGCACCTCCTCCGACTTTTGATGAATTTGTTATGATATTTGTTATCATTTTTAGGTTTTAATATTTGGATCAATTTATGATAAGGTTGTGTTGACTTCATAACTCCAAGAGAGTTATAGCCGGGTGAAATATTTTCAATTCACCGATTTATGTTATTCATCTGTATGATATGTGTAAATACTAGTCGTAAGTGTAATGATTTATTTTAATTTTGCCTCTTTTATATATTAGAAGTTTGATTGTTACCTCATTGATTTGGAGTATCTCCTCCAAAATTTGACTCATTGCCACTTACCCACTTTATTAGATAGAAATTGCACTCTGATGCGGGGAAAAAGCATTGATGATGTACAATGTAGCTCTCAGCATGTATATGATTCATAATTAGCTACCGAGGCAGAAAGTTGAGTAAAAAATTTTTTCGGTCAACAGAGGCATTGAAAAATGAATGCTCTCATATCTTACTTCCATCTCTTTCTTTTTCTTTGGGCCACAGAAAACACCATTTATATTTGTTAAAACTGTGGAGCACGTATATCCGCGATTTTAATGATCTCACTTTTTATAGTCATCAATCTTCTCGATTTGTGATAGTGTTAGAAGCAACTTAGGCTATATGTAAGAGCAATTTATTGCGTCGATTACACTCAGTCTGGATGATTTGCAGTGTTAACTACTCGCTGAATCAAAGACGTGACCACAGGTGTTTTAGTCTTACACTTTTAGTACTTTTTGATGCTTTAACATGCATGTCTTTATAAGTCTCCTTTATTTTTAATTGTCTTTCGAATGCATTTAGAAACCCATAGAAATAAATTACCCTGCTAGATTCTTTTAAGACGATTTGAAGTTTTTTTTTTTTTTTTTTTTTTTTTTTTTTTTTTAATGTCCCAGCAATGTCTGATACTCACATCGATTGTGCCACAAATCGTCTTCTCCCGGACGAAAGAACGTAACTCCATTCCAATGTTGCCAAATTTCCCCTCGCAAATTGCCTATTAATCAAGAGAATCTTGGGCATTTCTGACTGAAAATTTCCCTGATTTTTCTCTAGATCCCGAGCGAAAAACAGAGATATTTTGGATAAAAATTGCCTACGTACATTTACGTATCATAAGTTAATTGTTTGGGTCAATTTGGCAACCTTGGAGTGGAGTTACGTTCCTTCGTGCTGGAGACGACGAAATTCCCAAATTATTCTAGGCCGGATCCCTGTTGCCAAAAACAGCATACTTTTAAGTCAGTATTAAGCGCTGTCGGACCGACTTGAGCAAATTGCGCCCACAGAAGTTATTAGACTAATTTACTTAGGTGAATTCTTTGAAGTTCCTTTCGTAAGTTCACGTATGATGGCCCATCCGACGAAATCGGTCTCCAATAGTGTTACAAAGTTGCAAAGTGTGGCAGTCCCAGTATATTCATTAAAATAAGAAAAAACAGTAAGAAATTCTGATAAAAATATATACATTTGAAATCTTGAAATTACCTCACGATAGTTATAATCATTAAAATTCTGGAGTGTAGATTATTTGCCCCGCATGGGTTTCGACTTAAAATCCACGCCGGTACTCGAATCATTGAAGACATTCTTGTAAATACAGATTTTAAGATTGGCCACCATCACTGAAAGAGTTATTTTAATTTGTTTCTTCTTTTTTTTATCAGAGTTTTTGCGCTACATTTTGAAACCTATTTTATCTACTTATGCAACCCTTTCAACACTAAATCCAAGTTTAGTTACCAATTTCATGTTGCAGTACCCCCTAAAAGACGTTAAGTTTATTAGTAAATAATTTAGGTATTCATATTAGTATAGAATATTTTTATTTTTAAAAATAATTTTATTTTTATGCTGATTCATCATAAAGCTCTCGTACATTGTTAATATTATTAATTTATCTGAAACAATTATTAGGCTTAAATTCTGACCGCAACGATTCATTTAATTTAAGGAACTGTTACTTAATAATTACTTTTGTCTCTCATTCATATTTTACATCTTTGACCTACTACTTTACGGGACGTTTATGAAAAGATGCGACCTTGAAAGCGTCATTAATAATGTTTTGCATAACATGGCGGATGAAGGGCTGAGTTGTTCAAATATTAACTATATTAATGTTTCCATGGACTTTAAAACAACCTATTGTACTCTTTCGTTTTCGCATTCCTGTTAGAAGTACCTGGGAGTTAAGCCATTGTGCTTGATAAAGTATCCAAATCTTCTCAATTGAGGAGGTTTATTGACACGAAAAAATGAATGTCAGACCGTAGAGTTAATTTTAGTTCAGCTATCTTCTTTTTTTAATATTAGCAAGATTTCTAATGATACTCTTACACTGTAGGATTTTCATTGAAACTTATTGAGAATTACACATATTCTGAACCAAGAAGTATTCACATTAATGAGGTGATACATTTTTGGTGAATTTTTTTCTACTGATCTTTTGTGACCTTACAAAATAAACCGTCGGGAAAAATAAAAATCCATTTACTCTAATAGTGGCGTGGCGTGAATTGTGATACATCGATTGTTATGCCATTTAAACCTATGGTAAAGAGTCGATTATAAAGGTGTTCACTGCGAACACCCTGTTTATCGATACTTTTCCATAGGTTTAAATGGTATAACAATCGATACATCGCAAAGCACGCCACGCCACTGACTCTAAACAATGAAAGCTTCAACTCGATCGAGCGGGATGATTTGAAAAAGAATGAGTGGTAGAATTACTGGTCTCGCGCCCATTAAATGACAGAAAGCACGATGCGAAAGTTTTTCTTCCACATAATGATGAATTTTTTACCTTCGTAGTAAGTTTTTCCCTCATATATTTGACAGTTTGCTTCTCTGGAAATTAAATATAGGTACCGTTATGCAAGAACGGGAAATAGCCGGTTAGATTATCAATGAGTGTATCAGTAAATTATTTTCGTTACATAGCTATAATTTGATTTAAAATCTAAGTTGGCATTTAAAAAAATCACTAACTCTTTTAAAGATCTCTTACTAGGTTGATTTTTAATTACGGTCCTATCGAGGGCCGTGCGTCAAGCTATTAAAACCACTTAAGGCTGAAATACGCTGAGGTATTTTTACTCAACGTAAAAATATCGGCACGGTCGACGATTTATTCTTAAGTCAGTAAAATGTGTTGTTCTTTTTCTTCACTTTTGCTCTTTTCCCTCGTACATTCTCTTTGAATTCCCATATGATGAGCAAGTGTATGTTTTACCTTTTAGGCGAATTATTTTTTAGTGCTTGCTTTACTATTTGTAAAAGGCTGAATGTAAATTTTTATTGATTGATTTGTAAAATGTACTGTACAAGTTGAATAGACTAATTGCCTATTTCTTTGTTAGCTTCTTTTAAAGATGGATTATTTCTCGTGTTTCATATGGCGTTATTTATTTTTATTTTGATTGATGTACCTGATGTTATATACTGAGTATGTATAATATTTAGCTAAATTAAACGCTCAATGTGAGGAAAACCTGACTTAATAACACATCCTCGTGCAATATCCTTTTACATCAAACTGGGTTTTGAGAATGAATATTTGAACTGGACAAGAGGTAAAGCACCAGATAGCATCCCCCCCACCCCCTACCCCTGGTCAAAATTTCTCGTGTATAATAACAACCAAGTGGACACGTTGAAAATTGTCGAATTTAACTGTTAGTATAATAATACAATAAGTTTAATTATATGGATTTTATATAGGTAAAAAAGTCATAACAAACCTAGCTTCCGCTTACGAAAAATCCTCTGTCTCATCCAATCGCAATCGAACCACAATCAGTATCCGCCAGTAACAAAAATATCATTTCATAAAATGAACTTTTAGTCATCTCTCATAAATGTTTTTGTGAGCACGAAGGTTATTCCAAATTCTCACGTTGAGCGCGTTCACTCTTTTTGTTGTAAGTCAATTTTATTCCCAATAGATTTTATCTTTTAAAGTTATTGACATGTTCATTTGTGTCTGTGTCGTTTCAAATCAAAAATAAACCCTCCGTTGAAGAAAAAAAGTTTTCCTTTTTTTGCATTTCCCTTCAACCGAGAAAGAATTGCATCTAGCACTCAGATGCTATGTAAAATACAGAGAAAATTGAAAAAACCTTTGTTCCACTGGGAGTTTTTGATGCGGTTGACTTCAAGGTGAGAAATTCCGGCTCATAAATCGACTTTGACCGCAACACTCAAGAATCCCAGAGTCTGCCAGGTTAAACTGGAAAAATGCAGGATTTTTCAATGTTCAAAATACTTCTTAGGCCTTGTCTCCACGAGCCGTTTCACGAGATTTGTCCCAGGGAAAAATCCCACTTACGAAGTTGGGAAAAATATTGAGTTAATCAATATTTTTCCCAGTACCAAGTATGGTACTTGTACCCCTAGGACCCACTGAGAGAAGAAGAAGAAGTGAAAACGAATTGTGCGATATTTTATTCATTACTACATTGTTAATGTTTGTTTAGTTAAAATAATGTGTCTAATTGTCAATTGAGTGCAATTATTATTTTAATCCCGGGTAATACTCGACTTTAACCAATTTATCTTCCCGCGAAAACTAGTCGCAGGACTGTATGAGCCCCGTCCCGTGGAGACGGTAACTGGGAAAAATCCCAGAAGTTTCATTCCTGCGATTCGAACTTGGGACAAATCCCATGAAAACGTCCCGTGGAGACAAGGCCTTAGGAAATCTGTTTTCAATAGATGTTTTGGGTAAGTATTATCCCTTGAAGTATTATTGACATCGTTAAATTTAGGCAAGACCCTCAAGGAAAGGTAGTTGATGTTGTTTGACAGGGAATCTAAAAATAAACTGAGAAAAATTTCTGTTTGAATCCGTGTACTCGTAATTGACTACAATTTATTTTTAAAAGACTGGACACACCTACATTCCTTTTTAAATTAACTCGTATCCTCCTCGTAACACATTGATTTTTGGTGAAAAAAAATAGAATGAAAATCCATTTTCTTTCAATTAGAAATATTTTTCAAACGAAGCTAGGCACTGGTTCTTATGCAGAAACTAAGCAATCATAATTGAAGAAAATGTATTAAAAGCTAGTATGCACTTTTAAGAATATTAATAAAATAACTGACAAATCTTGAGAGTAGTTCAGTCAGTCAAGAGGAGTGGACACTTTATCTTCCAAAGATAAAAACTCACTTATCAACTTATTCACTTTTTAAGTGCTGATGTGACAGAAGGTTTTGAATTATAGACAAATTCAACGATAATACAATATCCTTACTCACAGTCAGTGATGAGAGAAACCAGCGAGTGGGTTCCTTTAAAAAGTTGGGAACTGTCTCCAACAAACGTGTTTTTCCTACGTGATTGGCGCCTCGTTAAAAATATAAACTTGCCGTAGATCGGCAAATTATCGTTGAAATTTGTGCAATGTTTTCAGAAACTACAGTCGAATATATTTTTGCCCAGTACCGGTGGGTGGTTGTCTGTTTATTTTTATTACCGGCAACATTCGTGTATGAGATTGGTTGGCTGTTCCGGCGATGGTACATCCTTTACACTCAGCAGGCTCCAAAAAATCATCCTCAGAAAGTTAATTACGTTCAAAACCAGGTGAATTTTATCAACAATTTTTATGAGCTCTCTATCTCGAAGAGTTTCGACGGTGTAAGTCGGCAATCACATAACTCGGTTTGCGACGTCGCAGGCTTCCTGTTATACTTTACTTTTTAAACGGAAAATTACTCGACGGCGATTCTTTAAAACTGCGGTGATTTTTCTTCCCTGTGTGAAGAAAATTCTGCAAAAACTTCAAGGAATGATGTCAATTTGTTCTCCTTTAAAGAAATAACATAGAGGCGGAGATTTTTAGACACTGCAAACGAGTTATGTGATTGCCGACTTACACCGTCGTTATGCTAAAAGGAACTAAGTGGAAGTGGAAAGATGGGGTGCGCTCGTAGAAGCTGGATAAGGGACAATGTAAACGTGGATATAGTTCCTTTTGAGAAAATGGAAAAGCGGAATTTGACATTAAATCAGAAGGAACTGAGCACTAACTCGTGAGCCGTGGGCATGTTACAAGAGCTTTGTGGACAGGGCTCATGAGTTACACTGAGAAAAAACTATGGTTTATAAACCTATTAGAGGTAAATATGGAACACCTATAATAGTCGTAAATAAACTAATGATTCTCGGTCTGTGAACCATACTAAGGTCTCTGTACCTAATTAAGGTACAGGTACCATAACTAAGGTATATGTGCTATTATTATATGTAGAGGTACTACTATTAGTGGTGTTCCATATTTACCTCTAGTAGGTTTATAAACCATAGTTTTTTCTCAGTGTAAAGAGTCCCGCCACCGATCTCCCCGTTGCCGTCATGCCTCCTCGATTGTTCTCGTTGACGTCACTGGCGCTTTTTAATTCCCATGCATTCTTATGGCCCTTAAGCACACCCCATCTTTTCACTCACACATGGTTCCATTTAGCATAAATACGACCAATGGAGATGTTGCATATGTGAGGAATTTGCGATTTGACTGATGATTCTTACGTAAAAGTTCACGAGAAACACGATGGTGCCATTGGTTTTCTCTGAAATTAACTCCCAAGCTCAAAAAAAAACCCTCAAGTTGAGGCCAAAATGGAGGAGATATCCCACCCTACCCTGAGAGTCCACGTTTACATCAAGACAAACTCTCGATGCAAAGATAGGGAGCAAATACATTAGCAGGGTTGCCGAGTTTTCAGTTTTGGAGTCCCCAAATAAAGTGGCAGCCCTGTCAATGTATTTGCTCCCTATCTTTGCATGGAGAGTTTGTCTTGATGTAGACGTTGACTTTCAGGGTAGGGTGGGATATCCCCTCCATTTTGGGCTCAACTTGAGAGCTGTTTTTGAGCTTGCGAGTTGATTTCAGAGAGAACCAGTGGCACCATCCTCACACATGCAACATCTCTATTGAGACTCATGTTTATCCGATTACACTAGGTATCTGAACATTTCATTCAAAATAAGTAGAGCTCCCTTGACAGTTTCTTGTGAGGCATAATCTCCATTTGAAATCATGAGCTGCTATTACAGTTGGCGTGTTTTGAATTAGTATCAGTCATGATCACAAAATACTAATACCTACTACTCCATCGCAGGGCCGGATTTACCTACTTGCCGCCCATGGGCCGCCTGTATTTCGCAGCACCCTTCTCATTCGTTTTGAAACACCATTAAAAACCATCGAGTGAACGTTCCGGAGGGGAGGGGTGCATAAGACGCGTTCACTCATGTTTTACACATTTTTTGTGAGAACCCTGTAAACACTACTAGCAAAAGTTCACGGAACTTCGCGCGGAAGTTAAGTTCCGTAAAGCTATCTCTGTAGGGACAAGGCCTTCCATTTATAAGAAACGAACGAAAAAATTATGAAAGAGCAAACATTAATGTGGTTTAATAATTTTAACTTCCGCCGCCGCGCTGCGTTGACCGCATTGTGTTTGGCGCAATGCGTGAAGTATTCATGCAGTCTTGTAGGCGCTATGATTTTCACGCCGATCGCTGCTGACCGCACTGTGTTTAACGCAATGCGTGAAGTATTCATGTAGTCTTGTAGGCGCTAATATGTGTTACATGCCGATCGCCGCCGCAACGAGGACCGAGGACCGAGGGCCGAGGGCTTCTCTTCTTCATCTCAAGTCCTCGTCATTAATTCTTTCTGCGCCGCGCCGTTCCAGGCCATTTTGCGTGTTTGCTTTCTCTCTTAACTCGAGTTATTCTCTTGTATCACCGAAAGACGACGAAATTAGAAATTACTATGTACTCTCAGGAAATGAGAGATTTTGTCGCCTTTTCTCGTTAGTAATTCTTTTTCTGAACCCGATTTTATTTTATATCTACATTGAAAAAAAATTGCAAATCCCCCTCCCCCCTAAATTTGCCGCCATGGGCCGCGGCCCGTGTGACCACCTCCTAAATCCGGCCCTGCCCTATCGGCGAAATAATCTTACTTTAACCTCTCGCTATGACAACAATTGTGCAGGTAAAGGAGAGAAACAGAGGCCACTCCAACTTGCCAATGTGCACAGCCCGGCCAGGATGGCAGAGTATGACCCTCAGGGAACCGAAGTACAAACAGACAATGTACCTTATTGAAGTTGATCTGAAGGACATCATTAAAATCGACGAAAATAAGCAGGTAAAATTAAATATGGAATTATCCTCTGCCCTCTTTGTTCGCCTCTTTGTTTGTTTAAGCCCTCTAATCGGTCTTCTATCTTTTATGAAGTGTAAATGACTATTTATGCTCGGCCAGTAAAATTACCACCAATATTTCCCTCTATTACAAGAACAATGCGTATCGCTTACAATTTTTGAATTCTTTCAAAAATCTATTATCGCAAACGAAGAGTCATTTTTTGAAACCATGATTGGAGGTATAATAACACGAAACAAGAATGGTATGAAGTGGCGAGAAGAATACTTAGCACTTCATATACCATTTCATGCGCAAGCAACATATCGACGGTGTAAGTCCGCAACCATGTCCCTCGGTTTGCGACGTCGCAGACTTCCTGTCGTACTTTATTTTTTAAACGGAAAACGACTCAACGGCAATTCTTTAAAAAACTGTCTTCTCTTTGCGAAGAAAATTCTGCAAAAATTTCAAGGTATGATGTCAATTTTTTCACCTTTTAAAAATATAGAGGCGGAGATTTTCAGACACCGCAAACGAGATACGTGGTTGCGGACTTACGCCGCACAATGGATCGAGTCATCAGGAGAGGTTGGACAAAATTTGAAAACTTTAAGCACTTATAACTTTGTTTAAACACAATTTTGAAGTTCTGAAAGTGGCTCCATCGGATTCCTTGTAAAATTTGCTACTCTTATCACCCCTTGATATGTCAAATCAAACGAAATAACCACCAAAATTTGCAGTTCAAGTTGATAATTTCATGTCCTACCTCTGTAATTGATTCGACCCACTGTGCGCCGTCGACATGACTTCCGGAAAATCTAGTTCGTTCGTTAGTGTTAGACCTTTGATCTCTTGAAACTCCTATATATTTCTCGAAGTGTTTGTTTAGGTTTGCTTCAAGTCATATTTGGTAAGAGCTCCTAAATTCCGTAAGTATCGTAGATGACAATTAGTTCTATTAGACTCTACCAACTCTTCTGTTAGTGCGGTCATTTTTTGCAATGCAAAAACTCGTAGTTCACAAATCACAGGATTGGGAGGGGTGGTCTCTGGTCTCCTCACTCTTCGAAACTATAGAATATAATTTATAGTACATACATTCAAAAACAAAAACTCGTAACTTTCTGCTACAATTTTTTTTGCGGATTACAATTACTGTTCTGCCTTGCTAAGGAAAAACGCCGTATGAACCTTCAGGCGTTGCCAAATTTCCTTTGAAAAATCACTAGTTTTCAAGATAATTTGTGAATATTTTTCTTCCAATTTCTCAGGTAATTCGGTTTGCAATTAGATTAAAAAAGCCTGAAAATTTCAAGGAAAAATATTGATAAATTTCCTCAAAAATTAATATTCTCCGAGACGAAATTTGGCAACTCTCTAATGTTCATACGGCCTTCTTCCTTCGGTCTTATAAATCGGTCTGAAGAAACCGCGCTATCAAGCATTACATTATGATTTTCGTGCTCAATACTCCTGCGTGAAAACTTTATGTTCATTTGTAAAGTATGTGGAAGATAGGTTTTTATTGGTAGGTATTGAAATACGCTTGTTTTACAGACCGTCACTGTAGAGCCCTTGGTAACAATGGGGCAGCTTACTAGAACTCTAAATGCAAATGGCTGGAGTATTCCTGTTGTCATTGAGTTGGATGATGTTACAGTTGGTAAGTTAATTTAGGCTACGGAATTTTTCAGACCCACGTTATGGAGGGTATCAATATATTTTTATTGGAAAGATTAAGAAGTATATTTTTGCTTTGATTAATTTTGTCGATGAAGAAGAATTCTTACATGAACTCTGCATGACATGCCCAAGTATTTGAGGGACTGAGGTAAAATCAGCATTTTTAGCTGTATAGCTACTTTCATTGTGCCTCAATTTTGAATTTTCTGATGCTTATATGGAGGGTAGTGTCCAGGTGAAATGGTGCATTACCTTAGAATAATTATGCCGGACGCAGTCTCAAATCATGACTGTTTATATCTGATATCAAAATTGAAAAATTAATTCATGGTTTCTGGATCTTCTGCCATGTAGGAGGGGCTGTCATGGGACAAGGCGTTGAGTCTATGTCTCACACTTACGGGCTTTTTCAACATATTTGTCTATCCTATGAAATTGTGGTCAGTGATGGCTCCGTCATAACATGCTCAAAGGTGAAAAGACCTACGTACATCTACATTTTCAAATCCATTTCAATTGCAGCTAATATTATACTAGCCGTTCTGGACGCGCTTTGCGCGTCCATCACGGCCAGCCAAGGGGCTGCGCCCCCTGGACCCCCGATCACTCGCTACGCGAGTGACATTCGGCTCGCTCCGCGAGCCATTTTTATCAGTGATTGGACATTATTGATCATTAAGATGTATACATTTTGGAGACTCCGGAGACAAAAATGATTTCTTGCTGGAGCGTGCCATCATGTGCACATGAATAGATGTGTGGAGATGAAGCGATGATGGGGATCGATCATTTCTTCAAAAACGCATTTGACTGGGACGTCATCCCATCGGGTGGCGGAAAAAGACAATCCATGGATCTCCTTCCGCGATTTGACTTGCTGAAGTAGCAAAAGTTCATCTTTACCTCTTAAGAAGATTATCGGTGGCGTAGGGATCTAAAAACTGCTCAACGATAGTAAAGTTCGAGTTCCGAATCGCAATGAGCCCACTCGTGTTTTTTTCTTATACTTTCGTCGCATATAAATTTCACTGATGTTTTTGTTTTATTCTCTCTGATTGCATATTAGTAATCATATCCTCATTTCAATTCCTTTCTCTTTCCTTTTTTCCTTTCTGTAGCATCTGTGTCCATTTACAATTATCATTTTAAAATAGCTTTCCCCTAGTATACAATTGATGCTTCAAACGGAATCAATTGTTTTAATGACATTTCCGGCTAAATCATGGGTTTTCCCAGGAAGACAGCCGCTCGTCCCTCCCAGACTCTATTATTGCCAGATAAGTTGCTTTTTTAGCCCTTTTCCCAATTCAAATCCATGTAAAATATTCACATTTATCGCACAATCTGGCAGCCTCTCGAGTGAAATAGAAAAAGATAGAATCGCTGAAAGTCTGAATCCTTCGAAGTTTATATTAATGAAATGATATGAGCTGATTTCTTCTTGTTGAAAATAAATTAAAGTTAATGACACATCGAGTCACAATAAATATTCTATTGATATTTATTCAACTACTCATAATGGATGAAAAATTCAAAAATTTCTATGGTAAAATACATATTATGTGTGTGTGTATATATTTCGATGGATCTATTTCAACACTCTCTTTAAAATCCCTCGTAGAATTCATGTCTCTCTCTATTAACTTCCCCCTTAAATTACTTTCACTAATTACTGTATGACTCCTTTTCAGGGAGAGAATTCGGATCTTTACTATTCTATCCCTTGGTCCTACGGAACCCTAGGTTTCTTGACGGCTGTTGAAATTCAAATGATCCCAGTAACGAGGTAAGAGCAACTTTTCTTTCCTTTAAAGAAAAAGCAATCTGTATTTAGGCTCTACGTTTAAGCAGAAAAAGACCAAAAATTCAGGATTTTAATGTTATGCGTGTTTCGCATCCCATTTAAAACATATTGAGGAAAATCAACGGTCACAATAAACTCAAGTGTAGAGAAAATACTGAGTAAGTTCATGCAATGGAATCTGACCTAGTCAGGAAACATGAGTAATTTCATCACTGTTTCTGAAACCGCAACTAGAGGTGGATATGAATGTCAGATCTAAAGCGCCAGATACACCTGCTTGCTAGACGCGCGTCTAGACGCGAAAAGTAGGATCCAATCCAACTTTCAGCGAGTTACGGGCGGTGAGTTCCAACCTGATTGGCTACGGGAATTACCAAACACGGCCGAAGGCCTACTCGCCGCTCAAGACGCGCGTTTAGATCGCCGCGCCGGTGTATCTAGCACTTTAAGGTTGATTCTTGAAGATGGAGGAAATACTCCATTAAAACCAACCACTAAAGTAATTGTTGTCAAAAATTCTAATTTCATTCAGCGCCGTTTTATTCAGCTATCTCCATACATAATAGGAAACCGCCGCAAATGTTTTGTACACTTTTGAAACCAGATTCAGAGAATGTCTCAATGCTTTTAAAGAGAATTTTAATTTTGTCGATTTTTTCCTTTTATAGCTTTATTAAATTACAATACCACCCTGTTCACTCACTGGATGACATGGTGAGAATATACGAGAAAGCACTCTCCGCTGAGGCAAAAAATGATTTCGTGGAGACCCTGGTGTTCACGTCAAACACTGCAGTTGTAATGACAGGAACATTTGTGAAAGATGCACCATTTATGGTACGTAATTTTAAAAGAGATATAACTTTTAACAGCAACTAATGGATAAAGGAAGAACCTCTTGTAGGAAAGCTATAAGGGCTATAAAAAATCCAATTGCCAGGCTATGTTCAAAAATACTGTGCTAAATATTACGTAGCCAATTTTTAGCAGAGGAGCAATAATTGCTATTCCCTCCGATCCCGTCATACTCGACCTTCTTTGAAGGCAATTTTGGTCAATTCATTTAAAGTTCGATATTTTATACTCCAATCACCCCTTCCTCCCCCTATCCAAGATTTATTTGACATTATGAGTTGATTTGATGCTTGAATCGTTCATTAAGTCGAATTTTGTATCAGGATTTGGTCCAGTTTTTGACTTACTGCCAACCATCGACAAAAAATGGAATTTCTGCGCGGTGACGTGACAGTGCGCCTGTAAATTTATATTTTCATATTGGCAGCAATAATGATCACATCCAAAATTCTTGACTCGCATCTTTCGATACTGGTCGAGAAATAATTGAACGCATCAAACCACAAGGATTCTTTCTGACTTTTTGTGAGTGCTTTATTTTCTATGTGAGTTGAGAATTCGCAGTCAAACCCAGTCAAAAAGAACCAAATTTACTCATGCGAATTATTTCAATAGGTATGAGAAGAAGAAACAAAATCCGGGATTTTGAAACACTTTGCCATCAAAATCTGGCCCTAGTAGACCAATAACTTTGTCTTTTGTACCATAATGATGCTTGAAAATGACAATGACGTGTCCATTATTATTTCTTTTCATATTTCAGAGGCAAAATAGAATTGGTCTGTGGTACAAACCGTGGTTCTTCACCCACGTACAGAAGTTCTTGAAGTGGGGTCCAGGCTATGAATATATACCACTACGTGACTACTATCATCGACACACACGATCGTTGTTTTGGGAGATCGGGGTAAATAATTCGAAAAATCCGTATTATCAGGCTAATTAATCACATTGAAATTCAGGAAGTTACCGTTTCACAGTCTAAACATTATATCTATCCAAGAACTATAGTGACGTCACGCGTGTATCCGTTTAAACTAAACTCAGTGACGCATAGAGCACTAAATAGGGAAGGAAGCGTCTTCTGAGCGCCTTCGACCTTCTGTTTATGCAACATGGGCATTCTCAGAGCACGAATAGTTGCATCAAGGCGCTACAATGCTGCCGTGCTAAAGAAGACCGCCGTATGAGCACTCGCGAGTCACCAAATTTCCTTCGGTGAAGAGTTTATTTTTAAGAAAAGATATGAATATTTTTCCTTGAAATTTTCAGGAACTTAATGTGAAATTGCGAAGAAAATTATCCGAAAAATTGGAAGAAAAATACTCATAAGTTTACCAGGAAATACGTGTTTTATCCAAGGAAATCCGTATTTCATACGGCGTTTTTCCTTAGCATGACAGAATGAAATAGCTAGTTGATCGAGATTCCAACAGTATGCACTTGCTGTATTGCGAAGCGAAAAACTTTTTAGTGATTATTGGGGCTTCACCGAAGAAGTAAGCATGTTGGCATCCACATGTTGCCAAATTTACGCGGATAAAATGCCCATTAAAGAGAAGTCATGAGTATTGTTTCTACGCAGCATTTGTTTACGATCACAGTTTGTGTTATTAAGTAATTCAATTCGTCGAATTTTATAACAGCCCAGAGTCCAGACTCTTGAAAACATTGACAAGAAAAAATACTCTTGATTCAATCAGATTTTTGCTTAGATCAAAAGGAAATCCGCTCAAATTAAGAGGTTTGGTTCTTGATTTAAGCAGGATTCCGATTGAATCTAGAGTATTTTTTCTTGTCGATGTTTTTAAGAGTCTGGGCTCCAAGATCTAATGTGTTTTTTTTTCCAGTGCAGTTTTTTTTATAGGAAAATGAAGATATTCATTTGTTTTGTAAATTTTAAAAAGGAAAAATTCTATAGAATTTTTAAATCTCGTTTTCATCGTTGCTTTCCTCTGCAGGATATCGTTCCGTTTGGAAACAACCCCTACTTCAGGTTTTTCCTCGGCTGGCTGATGCCTCCGAAAGTTTCTTTTCTGAAATTGACTCAAACAGACGTAATCAAGCGGTTGTATGACAAATTTCACATGGTAGAGGATTTCTTAGTGCCTTTGAAGACGTTAAAGGAGTGCTTGGTTTATTTTGAGAGTAAAGTAAATGTAAGTATTTCCCGACAGATTTCAAGATACACCTTCATTTTGATTAGTGATTTTTTTCTCATTGGACTTCTATGGAAAATCAGATCTGCAAGAATTGAACACTTATTTCATAAAATAACTTCATCAAATTTTGAAGTCCAAGTATCCTAAAATAAGCACAAAAGTCTGTCATGTAAAAAATGTGTGGTTTGACCAATCAATCTTTTCTCTTGGTGTACTATTCCTTCGTTTTTGAGAACTTTCCTGGAATTTTTAAAAATATTTTTCTGAAACTAACTGATTCTTGTGAATACTGTCTCTCGAAATTTTCAAGTAAAATTCACGAAATTACAAAAATCTGAAGAAGCTCAGTATTTGTATACACTCATGAATGCCTCAAAACTCATTTCAATCACACAGATACAAAATGATATTGGTAACTCCCTAAAATTGTGATATTACCCCCAATTTATTGGATGATATAGACATTTCCGGTTAATTGTGGTACTGCCGAAACTCAAGTTGGGGTAGTACTTCAACATTTGGGTTAGGAGCCTCATTTATTGGAGTGCTACCTCAATTAATTTCGGAACTACCACAGTTAATTTGGGAACTATCACAATAAACTGAATAATGGCCATATCATCCAACAACTCCTACCTCTTTTTCCGTGTACATTAATTAACTCTTAAAATAATGTCAAGGATGTTTATGTCAACAGGTACCACTAAAGCTCTCTCATAAATATTCTAATACAAAACAAGAACTCATTAAGTATTATTAGTTGCATGCAAAGTGACATTTACGGTTCATTTCTTATCTGTTGGCCATTCTAATGAACCTAAAATAAAGTCTGTTGAGTTAAAATTTGAAAGTTGAATATTCTGACAGGGATCACCCATATTTGCGCTTTTGAAAAGATTATGACCCACTTCCGGTTATGAAATTCCATTCCATATTTTCTTCTTTTAAATCAGGATTAAGCTTAATTAGAGCACGACGCAGGAATGTCTCTCTTTTTTATGATGCCCCTCTTGTATCATAATTTTTAGATATATCCGATATGGCTGTGTGCTTTTAAACTGCCAAACGATCCAGGCTTACTGCATCCTACTGGAGAAAAGGAGGAATTGTTCGTTGACATTGGCCTGTATGGTGAGCCAAAAGTGAAACATTACGATTCCGTGAAGACAACAAAAGATATGGAATTATTTGTTGGTGACAAAAAAGGGTGAGTATGCTTCTTAAATGAAAACTGGATGACTCTAAGCAGGAAAAAAACAACGTTTACGGAGCTTTTTGTGAGCTAGAATTTTTAAAATTAAACGATGGCTTTTGGCATAGAAAACTTTTAAATTGTGTCTTCGTCAAATTTGAAATAGAGGTTTCAACGTGCGGAAAACAGACTGTTGTCATGAAAGGAAGAAAAAATGTTTTCACTCTTTATTATATTTCTTTGATTTTCATACAATGTTCTGTTCTAATTTTTTAAAGGTATAAAATGCTGTATGCAGGCACACATCTTACACAGGCGGAATTCCGTATGTATTATGATCATTCACTGTACGATCGACAAAGGAAGCTCTACAACGCAGCAAGCGCGTTCCCAGAGATTTACGATAAAGTCAATCGGAAAGTGCGCGATTAGCTCATTTTTCTTTCATTCAACTCCACAAACAAGCCATTGTTTTTTTGTCCTAACATTCGTAACTTTTCTCATTTATTTCTGTGCTTGACATAACTTTTGATGAGGCAGTATTTAATTTATCAAAGAATTTCATGGCATTTGCCATAATACAGAAATAAAATTCCACTGAAATAATAAAATTAGACTGTATTCTTATTGATGTTCTCTTATTCAGTTTTTCCCCTGAAAACTAGGGAGACGTCAGAATCAACCCTTTCTGGAACAACTCTTTAAAAAAATTATAATTATCTACTCCTCTTAATAACTCTTCGGTGAGTGATCATATTTCATCCCTTGGGAGAAACAGAGAAATGCGTAAATTTAATGTATCTTTTTTATTTCAGTACAGTCTTAAGCATTTAATTTATATATTTACAAAGTTTAAATTATAAGTAGATTTAAATTAACTTACAAAGGAACGTTGAAATAGCCTCTCGGGCCTCAATTAGCGTAGATGCAAACCAAAATTAACAGTAAGGAACCAAGTTTCATCAAGATCGGACCTGAGGAATAAAGTTTGAAGTTTATTCATACATAGGGCTCAATGTTACAGATGGAGTGAAATGTCTATTTTCACATTCAGAATTTTTTTGGTTGACGGTGAATTTTTGACCGGGGAAAATTTACGGCTCAAAACTGCTCTCAACTCTTTTCTATCCAAAATCAATATGACTTGGTTTCTCTCTGTTTAACTCAGTTGGTATGAAAGTATAGTATAATGATACAGATCGATGAACAGTGAAAACAACTTCACATAATTTGAGTTCGTTAAAGAAAATGGCTTGTGAATTTTTCTGAGTTGTACATGTACAAAAATACCAGAGCTACGTAAAAGTCAAAGGTAGCTGCAAGTGCAGTGTGCACTTATAGTATTAAGCCAGGGGTATGTGCCAAAACATTTTCAGTAAAATAGAGAAACATTTTCCCGTAAAATACAACAGTTATGATGGCCCAGTAATCCTCTACAAGCTAGGGATGTTGATACTCCCACTAGTAGTCCAAAAAGTTTTTCGCGGTTTTCTCCAAATTACAGATCGAATACAGCTTGGCTTCCAAAGGGCTTGGATAATATTTTTAATTTGCAAACCTGACGATGCTGTAGGACTCTGAATTAGTTCACTCAGAATCCAACACCGACTAAAATTTTCTTAAATAACAATTTGTTGCACTGATCTAGGTGACACGACTTATTGATAACACGGTTAGAGGTCTCAATCTACCGCATAACACTTTCATTCATGGATGACCCGGGTTCAATTCCTGGGTCAACATCGAGGATTATAGGTATTCTTTTCATACATAGAGGCAACGGGCCAGCTACGGCTAAGTGCGCTCAAGAAGGACTTGTGTGTAGTATCAGTGACAAGAAGTTATAGAATTCTTTTACGTTAATTTACAGATGAACCGCCACTGTTACTCCCCTCTCTTCAAATAATTACCTCCGAAGCAAACAGCCCCTCTTCGTTCTCATCTTAATAGTCTACAGTTATAAATTCACTGCCCGCTGCCCTCGGAAGTTATAGACACTTGTTTTTTGTTACCAGAGGAATGGTAACATTTTGATTCTCTTAAAGTTATCAATTGAAGGCCAATAGGAGCCCTCATGAAGACCGATGAGAGCCTCTCTGAAAACCTCCAAAGACTTGAAGAGCCGGTAGATTTTTGTGATTTCCTTTATTAATGCTTCGTTTCTGCACAACAGAGGAATCTAGGTTTTCCTATTTCTGAGAGAAAAAATAGCAACATCATTAATCATTTACGAAGAACTGCGCCACAAAATTGATGAACCCAGTGAGAGGGATTATCGAATGAACCACGACCGTCTGCCAAGTTAACCTATCCTCCTTAATCTCTGAGGCTATGTACAACAAACAGGGGAGTGTAAAGACGCAGATGAAGCCACCCAAGGCACCAGTAAATCTAGAAAAGAAATCAATTTTGAGTTAAAAATAAGCGATAAAAGGGTCGATTCAATAAAGACCAAAAGAGAAATGGAACATTAATGTTCGTTTAAAATAGTTGCATTCAGGCGCCTACATGCAACTAATCCAACTCAACGGCTGTCCTGGTTGCGTGTGCAAAATAACGAAGGCGCCCTTGTTTTCTCAATCGACGTAAGTAAAGACGTTACAATGTACCAAGTTCTTAGCAACGTAGCAAAGGAAAGAATCTAATCATACTTAGTTAATAACGAAAAAAGGGAATTTCAAAATGTCTTTCTCCGCTTGAAATACATGCTAAATAATAATGAATCATTTTAATAAGCTGCAATGTTTTGAAGAAATATCGCAAATTCGCCGTCGAGCTTAGAATTACGGTTCAAAGCAAGCTCAAAGTATTTTAATATATTTTTAAAAAATATTTTGTCACTTCCGCAACAATCAATCTAAAAGGCTTTCCTCCCACATTAAGACGTTGTAGGGCTTCGTATAACCTCACGGCTTGACAGCCTACGCCCTTAAGTACTAATTGGACCGCGCTATGCAGAAAGGAACCAAGAAACATTAGCTGTTCCCGAATTTAATTTTTTACATGAAAACGATTGTGCGGATTTTTTTAGCGAATTTTTTGCATAGTACGAAGCAACGTCCTTAAAATTTTCAAAGGAATCCACCCAAACGCTCTTTTGTAAAAAATTAAATTTCCCAGTCAAATTTTGCGAAAGCTGATGTGGTTTGATTCTTTTTTGCTAAACGCGGTCTAATTTTCGTTGAAAACTATTATAAACTACTTATTTTCTCTTTATACGTAACACATTTTACAACCTCCTTCGCTCTTCTTGTAAAAATAATGCCTTACTTAAAAAACACTGATGTAAATAATGACCTCAGTAAATTACATCCTTCCACCCACCATACAGGATGAACGTTAGATGAAATTTTTAGTAAAATTACCTTAAAAGCGCACCGATTTTCGGGAAGAAAACGGCAAATGAAACACATATTCCAACGATGGTGATATTCAGCAGGATAACATGGAATAAACTAGGGTAATGGTTCAGCTGCATCGCTGCAAATATTTGTATCCGAAGCATATACATTATGAGTGGGAACACCGTCAAAAGTTGGAAGAAAATAAATCCTCTTGCTATTACTGTCATCAAGTCCCGGTTTTGAAAATTGTTCAGCAAATTCTGGAAAAAAAAATGTTTTACATAAGGTTATCATCATTCGTACGAAAATTTCACCATTTAGTCCGCAGTACTTACGTCACAAGTGCTTGTGATAGAGAATGGCAAAATTATACTTTCATTTATATGATAATTTATCGTAAAATGAATCTCAAAATCATGGTTTTGCTGGAATTTGTCAACCTTAGCTGTACCTTAAGAGAGATAAAACACCTGTCCATAAAGCACATGGTATGGTTATATTTTTACATCTCAAATTGTCTCTTGTGCTCTCATCCGCTTGATGAACATTGTATTTAAAAAGAATGAATTTATCGATGGTACGTTTTTTTTATTGGGACCTGTGGTTAAGTTGTTTTTATGTTGTTGATTAAGCTTTTTTTGTTGTATATTAGTTTTGATGAATCGGAATAATGAGAAATCAAAAACAACCCATTCACAGTTAAGATTTTTATCTCATTTTTTAAAATTAAGTCAAACTTGAGGTGAGAGGATGAGAGGTGAGAGGATTATTATCAATGCCATAAATCATGATATAATTCTGTCAATATTTGTTTAGTGGTCTTGTGCGAGTTTCGAGAGTTAAAACGGGTCAATAAACCTTGTACGTTCCTCTCATCGACCTTATCCTAAATTATTTATCATTTGGCTTGTTTCAAGATAATAAATGACGGAATCGTTCTTAACGCAAAAATTCTGTATACTCACGTCATCAATACAACTTTTCGCCAACGGAAAGCAGAGATAAAATAATACTCCAACCAGGCAGTAAGTTAATCCAACGAGGCCATATGCGATAGACAAGTCTCGGTCCTGTAGAAAATAAATCAAATTAAGTCGGAGCCACAAGTAAAATCAGACAGCCATGAATCGATCATGAAATGCTAATCGCTCATGGATCCAATCGTTAAAATGAAAATACGAATTTATTACAAGGAATAAGAGGGTAGTGTTCAATTCTACTTTTTCCAATATCATCGATCTACCTAGCAGCCAATGCGGTAGTAGAAAGTATCGAAATGCTGCTTCACTCTCTGCATACATGCTGAAACAACTTCAGAAATCTGCTACAAACTTCAGAAATCTTCCAGTTACATTTTATTTTCCACGTTGAGAATTGTTCAACGTCATTTTTCATAATAAGATTTTTTCGTGCCTCGGAAGATAATCAATGGCGTTATACAGGGTGATCCAGGGTTAAATGGCCAGTCTACAAGAGCATGTTCTATGGGTCAGAATAAGACTTTTTAGTTGTATAAAGTTTTTTCCAAAAGTGTCCCCAGTCGGAGCTACAGCCCCTGCCCCCCTGATATTTCGGATAGTAATTATTTTTTCCTGAAATTTGACATCGGTTGTGAACCAAATCTCATAAAAATTTGAATGAATACTTCCCTTTACTCTTATGCCCTGAATTCATTAACGATCTAAAATAAGTCGAAATCTCAATTTAAAGAGGGGGTTTGGGGGTGTTTTGGCTCCTGCAGTCTGGCCGTTTAACCTTGGATCACCGTGTTTTTTTACTAAAAATCATAACGAAAATAAGAAGAACTGTGTATGTCCTCTTTTGTTACTATACAGTACTATGTCTTACATTCTTCGTCTGATCCTTGTTGTGCCTCATCAAAGTTATCACAATTGAATGAATGAAGAATGACAGAGGTAACATGCCGGACGTGGCTGCGAGGTTGCTGGATACTAGTGGAGAAAAATAAGGGCTCTCTTCGTGGTCGAAGTCAACATGGAGACCCCAAAAGATCGACTTCACTAAAACGAAGAGCACGAGATACATGGCTGAGAGAGTGCCTGAAAAGGAGAGAAAATATAGACTTTAAGCAAGTTTTTAAATGCAACTTTAACGAACTTTGCCGTATCAAATATCAACTTGTCATTTTTTCATCCGATACAAAATTTAGAATAATTCAAGGCTTTTTCATTGAGAAATTATGATAGAAGAGAAAATCAAAAGTATCTTAAAGATCACACTAAATATCCCTAGATCCATGGTTGCATACAGGAAGAATTGAAGGTTCCTCGCTCCCTCATCTTCTTTTATTTTCCTGCCTGGTTGCAGCTGACACGTATTACTTTGGTGCTCACTGTAAAGCGCAAAGAAATAAAATAGAATTTTTTTTTTTTTTTTTTTTTTTTTTTTTTATGGGAATTCATCTATTCATTACCGAAAGAATTGAATTTGGTGAAGAACGTCACGCTCTTAAAATTTAAGAGTGGTCCCAGGATTAAAGCCAAAAATAAGGGCACTGTGTTGTTCAGCTGCCACAACTGATCGAACGTCGAACCAGGCACCCGTTGATATTCGACCACTGGCACTGTCACATTTCTAGGACATGCCTCCACTGGAAAAAGAGAAAAATATTCTAATGAGTTCTATTTATGTTATAGTACCTTATTACAAGGTTCTCACAAGTTATGGGGAAACTTACTCATGAGTTTTACTGATTTTATCTGAATTTATTCTTTTTGAGGTTTCATATACTTTTTTACTTTTTTTTTTTTTTTTTGTAGCTTTGCAGTAAGAATTAAAACCAAGTCCGCTAAAAGTATCTTTAATATGAGAAATGAATCACAACAAAATCAGATCTAAAAGTGAGAAGTTTGTATGGACGCAAAGACTCTAATTTGAGTTAATTTTGATTGAGTTTTGCCTTAGATAGTCTGAGTCAAATGTTTTTGATAGCAAGTAAATCAACTCACCTCCAGATAATGTAGAGTTCGGACTGACTATAATTCCATCCCCAAAATCTGAAAAAGATCGAATATTACATCGTTATTTGCATTGCACTGGAGTAGCGCTCATCAAAATATAAAGCATCGTGTAGAGTAAAATTTAGGAGAAAATAGTAGGAGCTCCAAATTACATACAATCAACGTGTGGACTCAGAAATATGCAAAATTCAAAATACAAAATACGCTCAAAAATTTTGTCGGGCTCACATTCCAAAAGAACTTACACCCAGGCCCGCCACAAGGGTGGGGCCACTGGGTCCATGGTACTGGGGCTGGTAACATGAGAGGCTACGTTAAGGTTCTACTGAAACGCGTCTTCAAAGGAACAGGTACTCACGGTAAATGAATGTCACTGAATAATACAAGAAGTTGGACATCAGGACGTAATAAATAATATTAGCTCCAAGAAGGACGATTATTGACGACACTTTGGCTATGATCTCACCCGGCCGACCTAGCAAGACACGACATAATTCGGCCATTTCACCGACATGCTTGTCGCCTGGAACAAACAGAATTACAATCAGAAAGGGAATGAGAACTAAGCTAAATGCTTTTAGAATGTTGAATAATAGGTTCGAAGTTTCATTCCTCATCGAGGCTCAACGTAGAAAACAAGCTTCAAATCAAAATTTTGGTTACTAAATATTTCTTGCAAACTTTTCATTTTTGGCACGAAAATACATGTTTCTAGACAAAATCATTAAATCATTACATTCTTAACTCAGTTAAAAAAAAAAAAAAAAAAAAAAAAAAAAAAAAAAAAAATCCTCCTCTTCCCCCTTCTTAGACGCTTGCCTAGTTTAGCTCTGCAAAATATTAAAATTCAATTTTGACGGATGATTTCTTGCAAAATTGGAAATATTATTGCGAATAATCGCGGTGCAAACCTTCACCTCCCCTTTGCCCTTGGCCTTGACTCGGTCGCTAAAAGTCTTATGTAAGGGAAAATGAATCTTGCAGCGGCCGGCGATAACGCTTAACTTGCGTATTACACTTTCTAGTTCTAGATCAAGCTCAAAGAGAAGAGATAAAAGTAAAACTAGGTCAGACGCAAACTTTCAAAGACGGATATAGAATCTGTTACAAAAAATTAGTGGTAAAGGTAACTATTTAATGCTCGCGAAAGTAATGTGTTGTTGTTTCGTAATAGGAAAGTAAGTCATGTGCGACCGATTGCTTTTGGCTATCGCAAGGTAAGTAGTTACAATAGCTAAGCATTAAGATCAATGCACCAACGGCTAATCTTGTGGTAATTGATAAGTTTAAATCAGAAGTAACGGTATCTCATGCGGTAGCAATCAAAACAATTGTTTGTCCGCTATCGCTTTTTTCACAGTAGGCACCATGTTATCACCAACACCTACCCCTGCCCAAGTAGGACAGATTGCAACAAAAATCGATTACATGTAGTTTGACTATTGCTGCTGTATCGCGTGTTGTGTATATTGCCTGTCTAATAATTGAAGGGGCTCATTTATTTAAAATTGACTCCAATAATCAAAATAATAAAGTAAGTTGAAATTTATCTTTGTATTGAAATAGCCTGTGTTTCTTTTGATATAGTCCGATCGTTTAAAATTGACATTTATAGACCAAATGATTCAAAAATAATTGCGATTTTCATACAAGAAATTCAATTTTATTTCAATATTGGGCAGCGACAGTTCATGGGAACACGCAGTCACTCCAAGGAATACGTTCAGGATTTTTAAGGGGCTTTTAGACCACCAAAATACTAAGTCTCCATTTAAATTTTTCAGTCCGTCTCGTAGCCGATAAACTGAGTTAATACAGTAAAAGATCTTTTGACTGTAAATTAGTTGAGAATGTTTTTCCCCCACCGATAATACCAAGATAATGGAGATTCGGTCTGTGTTATTAAATTGCGGCTAGAAACAAGGTCTTAAAACTCCTTCAATCGACGAGGATACCATATCTCTCTCACCTTCCTAAGGTGGCACACTGTTCGGTCAACAATTTTCATTAGGACTGTCCCGTCAGCTGTCACACACAGGTAACTTCCACGTCGTCTAAGTATCGAACACACTTTAAATTTGTCGACTATAATTTTTATTAAAAACAAAACATTTCTGGTCGTAATCTATTTACTTATTAAAAACGCATAAACTTTATATTTTAGAGATGGTAAGATAGTAGTGTTATTGTGTCATGATGCATTTAAAGGTTCCAGGATTGGTACCTATTGGCCATGGTTACTTACCGTACTTTTTTTGCACTTGGATCATCTTTTGCGCGGTGTATAGACAAATCATACCCATCATGAAGAAAAGAAATACGCTCATGAGTATTCCAGCTCGGCCGACTCCCCATGGCATTGCCAGCAGGGATGTACCCATCATCGTGTTCCATATTGAAAAACTGGAATTACAGAAAAAAATAAACTGATTTAGTTTATTGATTAATTATAGTGGGGTAAGATAGAAAAACTGGTCACCATAATATATGTTAGGATTAGAGATATGTGTCGGAATTTTCCCAGTAATTCCCAGCTAAATTTTTTTTCCTTGGAAAACTTTGATAAATACACATATATACACTTACACTTTGAAGAGTCACCGGGAGTGTTCCCCTGGGAATTTCTCTGATAATTTCTGGGAATATTCCCATTGCCGTCCCCGATACTTTATTTTCTCGGGAAATTTTAATCCCTGTTCTGTATATACTGGAAATATTCAACGGACGTTCCTTTTGATTTAAATAAAACTATTTCTGATTGCATCACCAGACAAGTTGGAAGACTTGCAAAAACTCACTCACCGAAGAGAATTTTTGATGATTATATATTTGAATTAAACTTTCAAAGGAATTAATTTGGTGAAGCTTACATTGTTACAATACTGCTTTGGGTTGCCACCTTATGCATGGATTGGCTGATCACAGGAGGCGAGAAGCACGTTGTCACCGGCTCGGATCGCCAAAACTAGAACATAATTTAAAACAAAAATAAAATTTAAATGCATCCTAATCGTGTTTTTAATGAATGTTTATGTTCAAGAGAAAATTTTTGCATGTAGGACCGAAGTGTTTCCCGAGTAAAAAAAATAGGAGTTCAATCGACACAAGAAGTCTGATGATTTACAAGTTGCGTAGTGCGCTCATACCCTTCAAACTTCGCCTTCATTTTGGAAGGTAGACCAGAAAATATCCTCGGAGCCGTAATAGTTATCTCATTTAAGAAAAAGGCGCTGCTTCGTTTTTTCATTGTTTGCAAATCAGCCAGAATTGCAAGTTGAGCGCTGCGCGCATATCCTTCAAACTTCGCCTTCATTTTGGGAGATAGGCCAGAAAATATCCTCGGAGCCGTAATAGTTATCTCGTTTAAGAAGAAGGCGCTGCATCGTGTTTTCATTGTTTGTCTGGTAGGAAATTAAATAAAACTTTGATCAGCTACCCCCAAAGTTGATAATGTGATTGATTTTTCTGTTGATTCACTTAGCGATTTTGCTTGTTTGATAAATAAAAGTAGTGAACAATTTACTTATGATGCTTAAATATGTTTTTGACGAAGCAACACCTCCGGCGTCCGAGCGTGCACGTAGAAAGCGCTACCAGGACCGGAAGTAAGAGGAGAAAAATATTTTTCTCACTGAAAGTGCGTTTGCACAAAATCCGGTCCTTATATAACCACGTGTGATTAAAATCCAGGTCTCTTTATCAAAACAATAATAATGCGCATCATGAAAACACGGGATCACGAATTTGAATTTAATGACGAGATTTGGTCATCTGATTTCTTCATCAATGCCTATTAAAGGTGTCATGGATGGCTCATTAGATTTTTTTGGTGGTTTACATAACGAGGTGAAATCTGATGTAGGTATTGATGGTCCAAGCTCCAAAATGAATGAGAGCCTAAAAGTGAAACCATAACGGTGTTAGCCAATAACTTGTTCCAAATATATTAAGATGAGTTAGGTGTGCATGTTACAAACTCTGTTAAATTTAAAATAAAATCATGTATTCTCAAGCATGTGTTATGAATTCAAGAAAGCATCTATGATATAGCGTTAAGATGACATTGATATAAAGAATGTAACATAAAGTAAATAAAATCTCTGTCTGGTTTTGGCACTTGAAACCTACAAAGTACGCACATTGAGTTCATTGAGTAAATATGTAATGAAAATTTCTACGTCTCGTGCGGGTGAAAATAATATGTTTTGACTTAATAATGTAAGAAATTATGCATGTTGCCTTATGTAATAGTAAATACTATTCTTTCTTCAAAAATCGGAGTCATTACTAAGTGATACGTCCACAGGTAGAGAAAAGACGTCCTGTGAATATTCGGGCATTTCCAAATCTCAGCTGCTAAAAACCATATTTTACTCATTATTTGTCCTTTTTCTTTAAAAATGTTTTAAAAGCATATTAACAATTTAGTATGATGAGTGTGAGAGCAAGCCAGGGTAAATGAAACCCAAAGATAAGTAGATACCCTCCACCAGCAACGGTGATGAATTTTGCTTTTGGAGATGGAATTAACATTCCTTATAAAAAGCAAAAATAATTGTGCCTTTTTAATGGGCGTTGAACTTTAGCTTTAGCAGTGCACCCAACAAGTCTTCCAAAAAAGTATCTTGTTCAAAGGCTGGAAGCTGCAAAGGGATTCTGGGGCGACCTCGAGANGGGGGGGGGGGGGGCTGAGAAAATAACGTGCACTAGGTAACGCCTTACACACGTTTCAATTCTCGCCAATTGTCCTCAAAATCGTGAAAAATGAGATTCAGTCATTAAAACTCGCATTCAATTTTAAGTGGTGAAGAGGCTGTGAAAATTAAATGTCAAACTATTTTTGTTAAGAGATACAAACGAGGCATAAGACAGATGCAAATAATCAGATTCTTCGTGCGTATGTACCTTTCTTCAGCGGAGAAAAATGAAACTTATAAATGGACACTATGGTAGCACAGAGAATAAGCTTCCAAAATGTAACAGCGAAACTATGAACATCACTCTATTATGTGCCGCCACGCGTGTCACCAAATTCATTATCCAAATTTGCAACTAAGTAGCTTGTGAATGAAACATTGAAAATATCGACTTTTGGTGACGTAATGAGTAATGATTATCAAGGCGTTGGGAGGCTGGTCTATTTATAAAAGCTTCAATTGATAAACCGTTGTTCAAAGCGGACTTGAATCGCGTGGAAATAGGTCGTCCGAGCTCCGTTGCGCGCCTTTTGCACCAATAAGACCACGGTCAAAAGCACCAAGTAATTGGCAGCTGTGGTGCATCCGACGAGATAGTTGCCGTGACCTAGGCACCTAGGGTCTCAAGTTGTCTCGAAGTCTTTGAGAGGTGTCTAGACTCGACGCTCCCTAATTGTCATTGCTCCATCGAGGTTTATATGGACGTATTTCTATCAAACGGAACTACGTGCATTAGGACATGAGCCCTTAGACCCATAAGAATATGTGCATAACAGGGCTCACGTCATAATGCACATACTTCCGTTTGATAGAAACACGTCCATACGTAGCTACTCTGTATTGATAAAAAGCCTGCTATTGCTGTACTATACTGCCGTTCTAAGGAAGAACGCCGTATGAACCTTCAGGCGATGCCGAATTTCCTTTGACGAAACATTAATTTCCTGGTAAATTTATAAATATTTTTCTTTCGATTTTTCAGATCATTTTGCTCGCAGTTTCACCTAGAGTCCCTGAAAATTTCAAGGAAAAATATTCAAAACTCTTCCAAAAAATAAACATTTTATCGAAGGAAATTTGGCAACTCTCGAATGTTCATACGGCGTTCTTCCTTAGCACGGGAGTATGGAGGAACGTTATATGCCTTTGGACTTCACCTAACTCTTTTTGATAAAATGAAAACTTCCTGGGTAACATCTTATGATCATGAATGGGTAGAAAATTAGAGGATTGTTTTGGGGATGATGTAGTAATCACTTCGCTCCCATCATCAGCTACCCGAGTAGCGTTTTTAAACGGAAATATCGCTGATTAACAAGCACTCACTCTTCGTACCCCC